CAGAAGCGAATGGCACATCGCATTGTGCCGCCGCATTTACGATACACAGGCACTTGCTTGACTTGGTATTCTTATCGCAATGGTTTTCTAATGCACCACTATGCCGAGTCCAAACTAACCACTCACGACTCACATTGTCGGATTAGTGAACTCAACCAGGGTATCAATTCGTCTATCTCTGCCAACACCTCACCTGCATATGACTTCCCTGTTTTCTGCTTCGATTGTTTGCGTCGGAGTAATTGTACAAGACGGCACATTATTTGCCTACTCCCTCAGTACTAGTAGTTCCAAATTCACAGGCTGGCTGAAGCAACAAACTGAACCTCACCAGAGCCCGCGTTATATTCACACCCGAGTTTGGTATGAGATGAAAAAGGCTTTGTATGGATTCCATTGAGATTGCAGTTAGGACACTACATGATAGCCGAACAGTGATGTGGAATGTATTAACTACTAATTAGGCAACCTTGTACTCAGGAACCAATCAGACAATGATGATGGATTCAGTCGATTCAAATTAATTGCGTTGAGACGTATGCACGAACTTGAAAGGCTTAAGTTCTTGTGTAAGTATTTGGGGTCTCATGCATCATCACAGGTTATGCTTGTCAAAGTGTATTTGCATGTAACGTTATATGTACTCTATAATACAAAACGTCTCACCAGTCATGTTAATTGCAGACAACTCTGAGGCATAATATCTTGTGGTCTATTGTAGGAACTTTAAAGGTACTTGGCAAGCAGGCAATTCAAAAATGTGCAGATGAGATGTTGAACCAGGGGTTCGAGCTGTTGTGTCGCATGTGGTGAACGTTTAAGGGTGTACATAAACGTAATCTAAAGCGGTCACATCTTTTTTTCCTGCTTCAGTTACTTCTGAAGAAGATAAGTTTATAACCTTTGGCATCTTTTAACAAAATTTTCTCTGTTTTAGCACCATGATTCCAGGTTTTTCAAACCCCCCTTCTCCTCGTATGCTCTCTTCGAGTTTTCGCGGTTTACTAATGCGATGTATTTTACTATGAACGTCATGGCACATGTGTTTGGATCCCTAGTCCGATCCCATTCAACGTCGATTAAGTGTTCCTAAAATGGAATACTTTGCAATTAAGAGACAATGGAAGTCATATGAACCTCTTTTTTTCACAATAAACCAGCTTGGTAATTTGCCGTCGCTCTCTTCTTCTCATTTGAATTAGCCACAAGGACAACTGCATCTGCAGTACCTAGAAAGACTGCTTCACAGAGCGTTGAACGCATAAAGATTTCAGAGTGTCAACTTAAACCTCACTTTTTAAAGCAAATATGTAGATTTTCAACATCTCTGGTCATGTTGAAGGCGTAAACTTGTTGATCATCGTCTACTGTATCCTAATCTCTAGGGCGCACCACTGTTCAAGGTGGCTCGTGGCTAACAAGATGAATTACACTTTCAAGTATCATTCATATTTCTTCAATGGAATCCACTTAAGCGTTCACCACCAATTCACGTCTTTTTCATAGCCACTGCACGCGGTCTTGGCAGTAAATTTCATGTTTGTCTGAACTTAAAGAGTCAGGGTTCAACTTGACAAAACAGTGGTTTTCACGGCATCAGACTTGACAATGAGCTAAACAAAGATTTTAGCTAAAACTGATACAGTTGTGTTATTCAAATGTTTTAGTAAGCATGACAAATGCGTTCTGGTTGCTATTTGTTTCACCCTTTCGCTAAAAAAACCGCCACGGGGTTTTCCTGGTGAATACGAGACATAAAGAAAATTGAAAGAGCAGTTCTGCTGTTCGTAGTTAGCAGTTGTTGAATGCTTGAAGCTGGCTTTTTTTTAAACTAAGCACAAATGAGGCCTGCTGAATCAGGAAATTATGCTTATTTGTCGTTGAGTAGGTTTCACAGAGTTCTATACGAGCTTAGTTTTACTAGGGAACTCTATGTTCTGGAAAAGTACACTGGTCACAGTGAACGCTAATGTGAGGTTAGGGCTATTCGGTGTATTAGCTGAAATATCAGTGAAATATAATACCTTTACGGTTTTAGTTTGCACAAATTCATAACACAAAACCCCTCTACAATCCCTTTCATTCCAGGCTGACAGAGATGTCCTGTACTTTACTTTCTCCAAAACACTTGCCTCCTCAGGGCACGGCAGCCAACATCGCCGCATGTTGGATTTCAACTTTTTTGGTGGTCATCTTTGTTTTACTGGCACATTTTCAGCTCCATTTTCATTTATAACAATACTATGTTATATAAAACGTTTCTGTTGGTAGAATATGGAGTGATGCAGATTTATAAATGACTTTCAAATTTAAAAAAAGCGTAGTTTAATTGATTTTACATGGCGAGTACTAAGCTTCTTACCTAAAGTGAAGTCCAGCATTAGCGGTTGTGGCGAGGGAAATTTGAAAACTTGGCTAAATCAGCACACACTTTATACCATTGTAGCAATTGTGTTTGTTAGAAAATACGTAGTTATGGCAGACCAATAATTTGGAGTGTTTCTCTACATAGAAAAGACGGTGCTGGATCATCTGGTGGACCTTATTTCAAGGTGCGGTTTCTATTATTACAGACTTCGATTTTCAGAGCCACACTTAAACTTTATCATTTAATTTGAGTTTGTCCTGCTTAGTGCTATGTGAAGCAGTTTTGGTTGGTGGCAGCATAACTAGGAAGCCGAAGTACTTTTAAAATAGAAATTATAGCTGAAAATAATCATGTTAGAACCTGTTCCAATAAACAACGGATATGTGAATAACGATTTCCATAAATCATTCAGTTAAATACCACCCAATTCTAAGTGAGAGTTTAGGAATTATTTAATATCGAAATTGTGGTTTTTAATTTATGCATTTTTACGGACAGCGAATGGTTTCATAACACCAGGGTCTTTGATGAATTAAATAAGGCGACTTCTTTTCAAACAGCTAATTGTACTAAAGTCGTCCGAATGATAGCACAACTAACTGGTTATGTTGAAGTTGCATGACAGGGAATTTTTCCTAGTAAGTCTATACAATCAATCAAGCTGGTGTAATAAAGGGCAAAAAGATGCAATTAAGGCGTTTTAAAGTTAAAATCTCATTTTTGTTGACAAAGCTTGGTCGGTATTCAGGAGCTGGTCTTGAAGAGCATGACGCTGACGTTCCCGATATGCGCATGCATGAATGTATTCTGTTCATGAGTCACATACCTATTAGGGACAAAAAACGCAGTGAGTTTCAACAACTGAGGGGCTGCCGTTAATTCCTGCCATTTTTGGTGGATAAATCGAATTTGCAAAAAGGTCAAAAGTGAATATAGGAGAAATACAGGTACCTGAGTGACTCAGGTCCCTTATTGACTAATAAGAAATAATTAAGATTAAATGGTAGTGACAAAGAAAATAAATGCCCCCATATTATTGAAGTGTCAGTAAAAGTGAAATTACTGAGGAAGGCTAATTTAATTGCGGAAGACTTTCCTGAGAGAAAATTGGTAGCGGTCATTAATATTCGATGTTATGGTCGAGGAGAGCGCAGCATTGATAGAGGCTTGGTAAACACTTGGGTGTTTATTTTAACAAACATCGATGTTAATCTACATTAAAACCTAAACTAACTAGGTTAAAGTAGGTTTTTGGAAAGTAATTGTCTATACGGGCGCTTCTACCTTAGATTTTTGTAGCACTTCATGGCTTAAAAAGTATTTCGCGTGATCTCAGTCGTAGAATACAACCAAGACAAAGTATATGAAAGATGAAGACAACTGATTACGACATTTACAGCATTTACCAAGTAATATATTAAAATAATCTGCGAAAATCCATCTTCGAGGCTTCTTATTGTTCAAAGTACTAAGCAATACGGCTGCCTACACCTTAATCAGGCTCAGCCAGTTGAATACGGTTTCGCATTTGGTTGAGGTGTCACAGGCAACTCCAATCCTATTCTCTTCGCAATTGACTTGGGCCGAAATGCCGACACATTACAAACAGTCAACACAGAAAATGACACCTACTGGTAGTATTCAGGTGACAGCAATCGCTTGCACACTCATGCCCTCTCATCGGTGTGCCTTGATGTTGCATCACACACAATCACCTCAGCGGTAGCAAACTCTGCCGCTAGCCTACTCGTTTTCTTCAATGCTGCCACCATCGTGGTGCACTCTAGCTGAACTGCTGTAGGGCGAACTGAGCCTCGCACGACTTACAGACCAAATCCCGACCCGAGCCAGGTAACTAGATCCATTCAAGTGGGCTGTCTAGTTACCAGCATAAAATAGCTTAGTCTGATGAATAAAAGGGAGACCGTCAAAGCCCAGCTCAGGCTCTTGACTTAACCCGCTATGTGCGGTTTGAATTTTCGGTTCGTGAGACAACTGGATATGTTGCCGTTAACCCTAACGTTGAGTCACTATATTTGCGCAATACGTGCGCCTACTAGGCTTTAATACCAGGTAGCACAAAATAAATTCTCGATGTTGCAATAATCAAGTACCGAATCAGTGAAAAGAAGGTGCCTATTTGCAATTTATCGTGTTTGTTCTTAAAATAAACTGCACACACGCGCACACATGGGTTTGTCACGTAGCCTAAAGACGACGTTTGAAAGCAGATCGAAATCGATGCGGTTGAAAATGGACAGCGTCGTCTCTGAAGCTACGTTGTGGACAAATAGCCTCCATAAGGTCATGTTTGGACGAAAATGCAATTATACATGCACATGTAATAGGAAACTAAATTCACTTTTTGCCGCTTGGTTACAACTGCATGACAATTTTAAAATGTAATTTTTGACTTTTAAAAATGAAGCTTTTAAACTGAGGAGTTAAGCTTGGGTCAAGATTATTTGACTGACCCGGCAAAGTGTTTTCCGACGATGCAGTGCCATGCACGCCCATATTTTTCGTCAAAGTGGCTTTTAATCGTCTTGGCAACTTGGGTCTCCTTTGTGTGGATTGAGAGTGCCTCGGCGATGACCTTGGCAGCCTCCTTCTGCTGGGCTTCAGGCATGTCAGAAGAACGGACGTTGACCTTCATGCCGCTGTCGCTATCACTACCGCTGTCCTTTCTGTTCATAGTCCTTCTCAATTCCTGTCTGAGTCAGTGTTTTGTGTGTGCCGAAAGGTGAAGCGGAGGTTAGCCTTACACTAACGACTCAAATGAATCTGTTGCTCTCTCTGTGTATGCACGCACACAAAGAGAAGGAGGGAGTTAAATAAGCGAATTCAAAGTGTGCCTTATGCATGTGGGTGAGCTGGCAGCTTGCCAGAATACAAACTCGTTAGTGGGCATTTGTGAGTCTTAGATGAACTAGAAATGAAGTGAATGACGAAGTTGAACTTTATCTAGAACTCACTAAGCTTGTTTTCAGCAACAATTTCTTAAAATTAAATCAGTTACACAAGTGCCCATAGGAATATTCATTGATATATTTCATAAAATGACTTATTTGCATTCACATGGTCATGTTAAATACATAAAAATGGCTCGTGGGAAGTACTTCATTTCTCGTTTTTCTATTATTATCCAGACTTCAACAAAATTCATTATTACAGCAGCAAGTGTTGCTAGGTTATTTGGGTTTCACCTCAAACGAACCGAGCATAATTAGCGACTGATCAGTCCTTCTAAATAAAGATAAAAGAAGAGTAATGCTGATCCTACACAAAATGAACGAAGGATTTTGGGATTTTGTACGCTAATCAACTTCCCACATTAGATGAGGTGACACTTCTGAGTTGAGCGGAATAATTTGAATGCTCGTTGATTTCTTTTGATTTCAAATACACGAGATCCTTCTTTTTAAACTTAGCAGTCTGCTTATACTATCAGGTGTGGTATTTTGTCATTGACGTATGGTCCGGAATCAACTGCTATTATCGTGAAAGGCGTTACACAAAATGCTGCCCCCTCATGTCCCCACATCCCAGAAGGGGATTGCTTTGCGTTTTTGAAATTCGCCGTGCCAGAAACCAGGCATATATCTAATTAGGCTAAAAGATCAACATAATGGAGAGCTCACTTCGCTTTCGACAACCCGCATTTTGATCTAGTGACAACTTGAGCTTTGGTAGGTTAAATTAGAGGCGGGCCAGCTCAGGTCAGGCCAGACCGTGCTGTGGTAGTGGAGAAGGAATTTAATTACTGTACAACTGATGGATCGGCTGGCCATGAGACCCGAGAGGCGGTGAAACTACGCTAGGACAGACAATTCGTCTGGTCACTCTCTCTCTCCACAGTGATCAATCATGCTACGATGAAGCGCTG